CAATTATTTGTGTGATATTTTATTTTGTACCAACCGTATAATGCCGGCTATATCAACTATGCCACCCGTATTAGTACCAGCTATATTGTAATTTGCCCTACACTGTATGTGAAAAAAAATGTCCTATTACTGAAAATCAGTAATCCAAAAGCAAATTTACAGATTATTTGAAAGCGCCATCTGTTGGCAATGTAAATAGCACATTAAATAACTGTGACATTATAATAATAAGTTCACATACAACACTGATTAGCCTAGATAGTTTTTCACCATTATATATATGTACTGAAATGAAATCCCAGCTAAATAACTTTATACTATTCGCTAGAGAAAGAGCAACGAAAGAAGCACACTAGAAATTGAATTCATGCTTCGATATAATCTTGTTTTTACGTAGTACCGAGTGGGCGTGGCGGAGAACAGCTGACAGTTTTCGATTGAGTACCATAACTTTCTCATCATTTTTATTTCAACCTGCTAAGAATCTATAGGACGTTTGTTTAAAACAGTAATCATGGATCATTCACACAGGCTATAATGACACGCTAACCCTTTTTTCCCAAGGTATCAGTCACGATATCTTGCATCCTTATACAATTATCAAATAAATGCCAGTTAAAATCGTTCTCTAATCTAAAAGAAAATCTCAAGCTTTTGTTTTATTTTTCATTTTGTACTCATTAATTTTTAACTCAAATCTTGTTTGACGAAAGGAACGAAACAAAGAGATTACTGATTTTAAGAGTACACCAAACTAGTTCTTTAAACTAAAGTCAAATTTTTCGGGTTACATATTTTGATATTGATAAGCAATACATTTTGTAATAGTAGGACGCCAAAGAGAATACACATGTTTTAACAACGTTTGTTTTGCCTCACGCTGTAGCAGTGAATCAAAATGTTAAGCCAGCTGTAAATACTTTACATTGGACTTCAGTCACGCTAGTGTGATTTCTTCCGCTAAGTTATTTATAGCTTTTAAGTCTCACGAGTCTAATACTTGTAATAATAGAACATGATATATGCCTACGTGTTTTCAAAATTGGTGTAAAAGTTATTTATAGTGTTTAAGAAACTTGCGAGTTTGGAAATAATAGTAGAATATGGTATATTTATTTGGTATCACGAATTAGTCATTTATTCTTTATCCCGTGTTTGGAATCGAAAAATAATATTTGAGTTTTATAAATCTGAATCAGAGAAAGTTTGTCGTATTTCAATTTACATTTTTCTTTCTTTTCACCTTTTAATTTTGTTTGAAGATTACGTTTAGATAGAATTGCTATAATCATATTAGATTTTACGATCAGACATATAATCAATGCCACATTCAGAAAACCTTTATATTTCTATCAAAAAGTAGGCGATGTATTTGAAAATTCCGTAATAAAGCCACGCATCTTTTAATGAAACCAGTGGCTTCATTGATGCATCTTTCAAAGAAATCAGTGGTTTCATTGACGCATCTTTTAAGGAAATTAGTGGTTTAAGACTGTTTGTTCTGAATTTCGCGCAAAGCTACACGATGGCTATCTGTGCTAGCCGTCCCTAATTTAGTAGTGTAAGACTAAAGGGAAGGCAGCTAGTCATCACCACCCACCGCCAACTCTTGGGCTACTCTTTTAAAAACGAATAGTGGGATTGACCATCACATTATAACGCTCCCACGGCTGAAAGAGGGAGCATGTTTGGTGAGACCAGGATTCGGTTCTAAACAGACGTCAATGAAACCACTGATTTCTTTAAAAGATGGGCCCGGCATGGCCAGGTGGTTAGGGAGCTCGACTCGCAATCTGAGGGTCGCAGGTTAAATCAATGGTTTCATTGACGCCTGTTTTAAAGAAATCAGTGGTTTCATTGACCGCCTGTTTTAAATAAATCAGCAGTTTCACTGACCGCCTGTTTTAAATAAATCAGCAGTTTCATTTACGTCTGTTTAGAATAAATCAATGGTTTCATTGACGTCTGTTTAGAATAAATGATTTCACTGACCGCCTGTTTTGAATAAATCAATCATTTTATTGACCGCCTGTCTTGAAGAAATAAGTGGTTTTATTGATCGCCTGTCTTAAAGAAATAAGTGGTTTCATTGCCGCCTGTTTTAAATAAATCAGTGACTTCATTGCCGCCTGTCTTAAAGAAATCAGCGGTTTCAGGATGCCTGTTCGACTGTAAAATTTTGGCTGTTACATGATTTATAGACTCGTTTAGGTTGATAGAAATATAAATATTATGTTTAATTATGACTATGAGATATTAATAAACGAGCAAGCCTAATGTATTATTCAGACTCTACTACTACGTTTGTGAACTTCAGATAATTTACAAGTTATATGTTTGAATTTTTTAAACTACCGATGCACTGTTAGACAACTAAAACTGAATCTGATCTTCAAATTTTGCCACTTTCTTATATCTTAATCGGAACCTTAAATTTTTTGTTCAAAATAAATTAATGTATAAACAGCCAACACTCGGCACCCATCTCCGCCAGAGGGCCTTTATTCTCGGGATTATTGAAATAAGACGCACAACAACTAGATATTGTGCAGATAGATGAACCATTCACGTGTGTACAGAGTCATTACAAATTTGACTTTTGCAACGTTCGTCATTATGTTGGTTAATTAAACGTTGATACACTACCGTATATCAGAGTCATGTATACGGTTATTTAATATACTACTATTGCAGAATGCACGTATAAAATCTCATGGTATAAATGATGAGGCCCATTGTTATCTTTTTCATCTGCTTTTCCGTTTTCAGTTTATGAAATATGCCGGTGTTTATGTTGAGTCATTTCCTCAGTTTTAGCCATGAATATACGAAATTCCGTAATTGAGTTCGAAATTAATATTTCCTCACAAGGATGTTTGTTCCCCGTCCATTAAACTATAATTTCGTTTCAGCTACATTAACATTAACGAAATCCTATTAAGTGTGTAGGTATCAGTCGTTATTTCTTCAACGCCGGGTTTTTGTAGTCCGTAATATAGTTAAGTCACCATTTCAGAGGAAAGCGATGGAAATCAACCACTACTAATAATGTGAATAATTCTGTGCGTCGTAATGTTTCTAAAATATTTCAATCTCCGCTCCATCAAATT